GAATATTGAGATTTCTTCTAAGGAATATAATGAATGTACAATGTACCATGGATCTAGAACAATCAATGGGCCACAAGACTTCCAAACGACTACTTCTTAATAGCACTAAATGCAATTCTATGGAGAACAGACATGCTGACATTACGTATGAGGTTCCGGAAAGGAAATGAGGACCACACACACGATCTTCTGCACACACCGAACGTCGAGCCAACATCATGGCGTCGTACCTCACACCATCTTCTAGCCACATAGACTGCAATCAGTCCCGAATCAGTACGACAGCTCGCGTCATCAGCTCTCACTGAGCGTAGTACACCGACATAACCTACTATCTGAGGATCTCATCCAGATCGCTCGCCTGTTTTTCTACTCCCGTATGTGAATTACTAACTTCACACATCGATGAAAATGTGTAAAGCTTCATTTCACGAATCGGTGTGTGAAGTGCCATGCTTTTCTTATGGGATTTATTTCACGCACCGGTGCCATAAGTCAATACAAATTCACACACCGGTCGCTGGTCTAGGTAGCACTATTTTTGTAGAGAAAGACAATAAAGTAAATGACATTTTGACAATTTACAAAATTGCAATATAACTGTTCATAATAATTATTATTGTAATAAAGAAAATTAGTCAAATTTTCCTTTAATTCAATCTCTGAGTAAAAGGTCGTAGAAAAAGTATAGTGTGCACCACGTGCACGTATACTTCACGCACTAGATACACAATATACTATTATACACGAGCGGGCGTAAAATTACTGGGTGGCGCAATGGGCATTGACGATTTTGAGTGTTATTGTGAATGTCAAAACTTCACAAACGATAAGATTTTCACAAAATTCTCTACCACACGAAATGTTTCGCTAACACAGTAGCTTCATCAGATGAAATACTGGTACAATGAACTGAACTAACCTTGATATATCGAAGACTGGAACCTTTGGCACGATAATAAACTACACTGTTTTAGAAGAGAAGAAGTTTTAATCTTCTCTTCTCCTGAAGACGCTAACATAGTTAGCGAAACACGTGTCGAGGCGTTTAGAAATCGGTTTGGTTAGTGGCAAAACAGTGTAGTGTAAACTAACCTTGACTTGCCTAACTTTTATAAATCCTACTTTCCCATCCTGAAGGATTAGGGTAACAGTGAATGCCTCCATAGCACTTTTATCAGGGAGGAACTGAAATATCCCTCCTGCATAAAAAATGCACTACTAGTTTCAAAGCATCTAACTTTACTCGGCTCAAATGAACCTTCTCTCTAAAAATACAGTAGTTTTTTTTAGGGAGGAAGAAAAATAACCCTCCTGCATAAAAATGATACTACTTTTATAAACCATCTAACACCTTCTACCTGCCGGAAGATCACTTGAGAAAACAGAATTAAAAAAAGCCGGCATTCGCATTGAACCCGGGTCGCAGACGCGGGATCCAAACGCACAGTCAACTACGCCATGAGTCGTAGTTAATGTGGTAGTATAAAGAAAGAATTTAGTCGCTGTACTCGCACTTGCTGCGCTGATTTATATGTATTACCTCTAGGCGCTAGTATTCGGATTCGAACGAATCTAACATTTAGGGCAAGTATACTCCCCAGACGCTACTCTACTAGAAAATTTTGAAATTGTTCTTATCCATCATTCGGTTGCCCCGTTACGAGCAACCCTCAGAAGTCTTCAAGAGACCTGTGCGAGCAAGGAATTACGGGGGTCTTACTTTTAAACGTGTGATCCCAAACACTTTCTTAGGCCACCTGAAAAATGTCTGCGGTCGTGGTGGGAATCGAACCCACCTCCCGGCAATTCAACGTGGATAGAACATTGACGCTTTAACCACGAGGCTACGCTGACCACGTACTAAACTGCATTACATATGGAATATTTTACGCTATCAATTCTAATCTCTCTCCTTTTCTTATTTTCGAACAGTGGTATTTCAAAAACCGTCATTACTCATTGCGCCACCCTGTAGCACTTTAGCGCCCTAGGCGGTAAAGTAGGTGATTGGGTTGTAAAGTAATTTCACTGTTTTTTCAGTAATTTCTATAGACAACCATTCGATCTTTCTTCGCCAGTGGCATACAGAATTTGGCCAAATGTATGAATAGAACCCTACTTTACGACCTTGATAACATGACATTGACTTATGTCACTTGGATTTCGGAAACATGGGTTGATGGATGAGTTTTTGTCATATCATTAGCGGTCTATAGATACCTAGTAGGTTATGTCGTTGGTGTAGTATGAAAGCGTGGTAGGCCACTACTGTGTTTTCTAACTGGTGTTTCCAAATTGTGAATATTTCACTGGATTATGACGTATTTCGTAAGTACCAAATGCTGTCATTGTAAATTCTTTGCTTTGATTTCAATGTTTGAAGTTACTGCTATATTCAAGTAAATGGTGTCCCAAAAATAAAGCACATTCATTCATTTTCGATTCGAAAATAAAAATTGATGCTGCAATTTGTGCAGCCGAATACTCTGCACCTACAGTGTGTTACAATTTACTCCACCATATCCCTGTACTTTCGTATTCCTAGGACGATTCGATGTTTTTTTCCCTCATAATATATTACTCAAAATTGTCTTCTTTGTCGAGCAAAAAAAATTATCTAATACAATTTCTTGGTCTACTGCGATCACAAAAACTTCAGCAAAATTGAAGAAAACAGATTAGGCAATTTTTTACAAAAAATTCCTTTATATCTTGGTATGAATTTCGCACTCTGTAGCTAGATGATCTAATACTTACTACCTTCATGTCTGGTATTATTAATATTCTTGAAAGAAATATTATACACTGTGGCTTATATTCAATAATTCAAAAATTGTAACGTTGATACAAAACACCCCTTATGAGATATTGTTTTGAAAATTGATAGGGTAGTATTTGTGGCTAGTCCGAATCGATTGCCATTATCAAAATTTTCGGGAAAAATAATGCTCAATCCATTTTCTTCAGTTTTGATGGAGTTCTTGTGATCGCAGTAGGCTAAGGAATTGTGTCTGATAATTTTCATTTGCTCGACAAAGTAGATAATTTTGAGTACCTATTATGAGAAAAAAAATCTTAAATCGTCCTAGGAATACGAAAGTACAGGTGTGGGGTGGAGCAAATTGTAACACACTACAGTAGTTCATAACTGACCCACAGATTTCACAGAGAAAATATTCGAAATTAAATAAATCAAAAAGATCACACAACAGTGGCCTTCCTACGCTTCTGTTTGTAGTCTTCATAAATTATTTTCGCTATATTCTGGACGAATCAGATCAATTCAACTTTTATTTTGATACCTATTGAACAGGATATAACATAAATACGTTTAAATATTCAAATTTCGTATTCCTGAGATAATGTCAACTAAAAGAAACATATTTCATATAAACTTGTGTCCGAAAATACATCGTTTTATGTAAAAAAATAGAAGTTTTGTGCGAAATTCAGTACCCTTTTTTTTTAGGTTATCTGTTATTAATTTGTATGTCGCACCTAGAGGACGTACGCTATCATTATTTATTTAAAATTGTCAGAACTTCTGTGACAGTGAACTTTTGCCACTTTTAATGACAAAAACCTTTTCTAAGGAAGGTGCACTTCCCTAACAACGCTGGAGGTCTATACATTTTTTAGATCGATGCACGTTACTTACCTCCTTAGTGAAGTTGCTACGTTACTTACCTCCTTAGTGAAGTTGCTGTGAACATTTCAAAACTAAGTAGTCGGTCAATTTCATCGACATAAACAACTTCTTTCCAATAAGTTGTTTATTTTGACGAGATCTACCACATTACTTGGTTTCAGTAATGATCTCAGCAACTTCACTTAGCGCCTTAGTATCGAAAACGATGAGCTGGACCCTCTAGCGTTGTTGAGGAAGAGTACTTTTCTTTACTTGAAAGTTCACTGTTGAACAAGTTAGGGAAATTTTATAGATACTCAATGACAGCGTACGCAGCCCCCTTTAGGAACCTACATGGAAATTAATACGGAATTATGATTTTCCACAAATTTGTCATTTCATCTCTGTTGATAGGTTATAAAATGTAACTTTTCATAAATTACTTTTTCCCCACGAGAAAAAAGTGAGTACTCTTTTCCAGGATATATATAAACTGTTGATGGCTTTTGTTGTGCTACTTCCGAAAAATAAGCCCATAACACCATCTTCGAAAAAGTTCTATCATCTTTCATTCCACTTAGCGGTTACGTTATTACTAAACAACCACAAACAACCATGTTCTCAATTTTTTTAATCAAATCATAGAATTAAGCTGACCGATATTTGATCACCTACGTCAAAAGAATGATAAAGATGCATGCAAAAAGATACCGGCAACCCTGTAGTTTGGAAACCAACAACACTATGAATACTCCAAATCACACCATCAAATCATCAGCTGTGAATTCGATAATTTCAAACGAATACTTTCATTATCTATAAATAAAATATATGAATTTCATATCTAGAACTACTATCTATACTTACTAAAAATCCTATTTTTCGGAAGGCTCAGAGTTAAAAGAAGCATGACGAATTTACAATATTATAGGTTTTCTTCAAAACGAACGAAAAAGTTATGAAGATTGAACATCAATTATAATAATATTAATCATGATCGTTTTATAATTTACAAATATATGGATACAGAGAGTAACTTCCAGATTCTTTTTCAGGACGATTAACTCTCATATACTTTGACATCCAAGAATCACTAACAAAATACTTGTAGGAAATCTTCAATCAACTAAAATGAACATAATTGAATTGAAAAAAGAACAATAACTTCCAATATGAAATAAATGTTTTCAGTAGGAAACAAAAGTGCTCACCCTTGTTGGAGTGAAAAACACAGTTTTCGAATATCCAGCGAAAACATCAACATGTTATTCTTCGAATTATGATATCCATAATGATATTTGATCTAAATAATGTATGAAGACTGAACAAATCCGCACACGTGTGAGGTATGTAATAAAAATTCACTCACCTGGAGAGACGCTGAACTCTGTTTTCTATTACTAAATCTGAATCCCCTGTCCTGCTCATTCACATGTCTGTGACGTAAAAGTAGTGTTCTCATTATTTTTGGTATGTCTTCTTCTTTTATCAAATCTTCCTTGTACAGATCTTCTGATATCCTATAAAAATGTCGATGATTAGTAATTAAATAACTAGTGAATGATAATAATTGATGAGATTTTTCAGAGAATATGTTGTGATTTCGGATGAACAAGTGTCCATCATCAACCATTAATCCAAACGAAACAAAGGTCATAGGTCGTCGTAGAATCGTAGAAGAGAAATTCAGGTCACGTGGAAATGGATATAAAATCATGAAACATCGATTTGATATTAACGTTGACTACAAAAATCGGTGGTGGAAACGACTTATTTTTATTTAGTAAAAATGTATTCCTGATGAATCGTAGAAATGCTGGAGTTATACTTTTTCATGCAAGGATGCAGAATACGCCTTATTTCGGACAGCTTCACAGAAAGTGTTTCTGATCTAGTCAATTCAGGAGATGGTAAAAAGCATGGTGTAATGGGTATTTCTTTAGGTGCGCTTTGAAAATGTTGGAACCCTGCAATGATTTCAGGTTTGGAGGTAGCATGTTAAAGAAATAGCCTCCAGCATAGAGGAGATTTTCTATGCTGCATTCTTTTAATTTGATGCAGACGAAAATCGGCACGTCTTCTTGTAAGGTATTCATGAAATTCGCTGTTTCTATCTAGTTTTCCTAAATTATTGTATGTATAGGAATAATTTGTATAGAAGTGTGTTGAAATGCCACTTTCAATAAATGTGTCTTTACATGACTCTCTATGCCCAACTAGCATTTATAGTCGCGATTACGTAATTACGACTATTGGGTCGACTATTAAGTAATATTTACTAGTTGCGGTTACGTTATAATTACGTCGTTACTACGTATTTACGACCAAAATGGGGAACAAATCACGAGTAATTATTACGGTTTGCCGACGTAGCGGGAACTCACACAATTACGTAATGCTTACGACCCGTCGACGTCGAAATTACGTAAAGATGTAGTAAATTTTCCTACCTGACTTTCTATTTCTTTTCCACTTCATAAAAATATTATTTTCTCTCTTTATTATTCTTCATTTCATCCATGAAGTTCACATTCACGAAAAATGAACAAGTCCAATATGCCTAACCATTCAATAAATAATACAAGGACAAACACGCGAAATAATTGATACTCGAACTTGAAAAATTCGAACAACATTCAGTTTTTCGATAAATGTGATGATTTTGCCTCGAAATTCAAGATGCGCCCACAAAATACGGCTCATTTCACCAAAAATATGGTTTTATTTCATTCGGCTATTTTTCAAAAATCATCGTAAATCATGTTAATTTCCATTATTATGCAATTTGTGATCGAACGAATGCTATTATTCTTCATAAAATGATGTTTATCAACAAGAAAAACCAAAATTATTTCCTGTTCAAATGGTTATCACATCAATCAATATGGCTTCCAATCGAAAATGAATCAGAAAGTTACTTTTGGAACTCGTCAGTTATGATAACCTATGTATTGGTAACTTCAACTGAATATAATTACCGAAAAGTTGTTTCAACTATGAAGGAATTGTTTGAGTAGGAATTACCAATATGATACTTGAAATATCACCAAGAATTGACTAAATTATTAGGTGATCGATCAAGTAACGACAACGTCGTAGAAACCTAATTGGTGACCATAGAGTAATTGCAACTGTGAAGCCTTCTTGGGGTGGTAAGCGTTACCGTAATAATATATCCAAAGTTCCGAAACCTTAAGAGTAGTTTTGAGGAGTGACAGTTTCGAAATAGTTACTTCGTAATAAGCCATGAGAATTTCTCACTTTGAAGTTATTATCTAGTGTAAAAACTACGTAATTTTCACTCACTAAATAACTATCACTGACATTTATACTATGAAGTTCTGAAATAAGTGATAAATACGTTATTATCACTAAATATAGGTAATAGTTTCTTGAACCATGGTGCCTGTGACTGAAAATGCTAGTTGGGTGGTCTAGGTCGAACAATAGCCTTATGAAAAAATATAAGTTAGAGCATCATCAACCGACCTGTGCGCTATCGCCGGCAAGTCCGTTTCTTCCATATCCAGCACGACGAGCCCCTCCTCCAAGCACCTCCTCAAGTTCAACAGGGAGTGGAAGCTCAGCGAGGCCACGTGAGGCTTACCCCATCGGTCGACGCCCTCTTCCACGTCCTCCTCGTATTTGATCCATCGGGCAGTTTCCTTCCATTCGCGGTCCTCTCGGTTCTCGAACGACACGATCTCGGCCAATTCCACGAAAATCTGGAGAAGAAATCGATTAGGTATTTATACACAGAGGTTGTGGTGTGCGATAACCAGCGAGAACGAGAAATGAACATGAGCAGTGGCTTCTATGGGAGCTACAGCCTCTTGAAGAAGCTCCTCAGATTTCATTTCATAAATTTAATTTCAACCTATCAGAAGGCTTCTTTTTGTTTTTTTTATGTTCTGGTTCCCACGAACAGGGATATCCTGTAATGTTCAGAGAACATCGTGGGAACCAAGGGAAATGAGGTAGAAACTGGTGGTCTTCTCAAGTTTCTGGAGGTTAGATACCTCGGGGAACATCTACCATGGCAATGTGTTCCAGAGCCTCGAATCTTTGGAAAGAGATGTTCTGCAGGTCTTCAAACTGGCCACGAAGGGGTGCGAAGCCTCAACTCGACGGGTTAATCTCGCGGGGACTGCCAAGGGAGAAACAATTGTTGATATTTCAGAAGAGCATCGTCCATGAAAATATCTATAAAATAGAGCCAGACCGCCAACTTTTCTACGGTGTTCCAGAGAAGTGAGTGAGTTTGTGAGAGAGGCATCACCCACGAGACGAATTGCCCTTTTTTGGACAGAATCCAACAGTTTCAGGGTATGTTTGGGTGCTGCACTCCGAATATGGGGAAAGTATTCCAGGACAGGTCGGATCTGTGCCTTATAGATCATAAGCAGCTGACTGGAAGTGAAATAGTTCCTGGCTCGAAACAGAAAATCAAGTTTTTGGGATGCACTTTAAGCAATTGATCTCACGTGATTTTCCCAAGAAAGGTTATTGCTGATAGTAATACCAAGCATCGAAATGGATGTCTTCAAAGGTACGGTTCCTCCTGACAAGCTTATATTGGGCACAGTGAGATCGGCTTTTCTAGAGAAAAGGCATGCTTGTGTTCTGTTTGCATTGAAATCTACCAAGTTATTGGATCCCCATTCGAGAATTGTTGCCAAGTCCATATTTATGTTGTCAACATTTCTTCCTCGTTCGTTTCTGATTTGCCTGGCTGGTATTGGAGCCCTGGACGAGAAGGCGGTATGGAGGGTACTATCATCCGCGAAACTGTGTACTGGACATGAAGTTTCTTCCAACAAATCGTTGATATGGAGTAGAAATAGTGTTGGTGCTACAATTGATCTTTGCGGAACACCAGCATTTATGATAACAGAGACAGAAGAAACTATGTCGACCACTACATGGAGAGACCTGTTTGAGAGAAAACTAGCTAGCAGAGAACATAACTGGGGAGGCAAACCATATAAGATGGAAGCTTGGCGAGAAGTCCGTGGTGCCAGACTCGATCGAATGCCTTGGTGATATCAAGTGCCACGGCTAAGGTTTCACCATATTTTTCAATAGATTGCTGCCATATATGTGAGACCTAAGCGAGCAGATCACCAGTCGATCTCTGATGACGGAAGTTGCTTATAGCAACGGGAGATTATCACGATAATTTTTGTCGAATATTTTATATTTTCAAGCAATAATTTTGAGCACCGTATAGAACGAGGATACATGGAACACTTTTTAGATACAAATATACGTGGCGAAGCAATTGGCAGGGAATTTCGCAATATAATACGACTCGTGGGTATGCCTGGTACATTGGTATCTGTTTTAGGATTATCTGAATCAATCCGGAATCAGTTTGTGATTAAGTAATCCAATAAATGGAATTTTTCAAAGAGATACATTAGGAATATTACCTAGCTTAGACATAGACATCAGTGTTACTAGGATATAAAATGAAGATGGATATGAGCCATAGAACTATACGAATATCGATGATAAATATTTTCAACAGGTTTGACTTACGGCATGGGGACTATGGTCGAAACATTTCTTCGTAGGTCGATTCGTTTCTGGGCTGTTGCCTGAAAACGTCCTTGAAGCTTTATGCCTGCGTAAGGCACGTGAGTCATCGGAACTGAAAAAGGAAAATCACGGTGAGAAAGTCTCGAAATGACGATAATTATTTCTGTAATCAGGTATTTTTTATTGCTTACTAGGAAGGCGCTGAACGAACAAGCGAAAAAAATGTCGAAATTGTTATTACAAAATTATCATGTCAATTGAGCTAATTGCGAGATGTATCTTGTAATTGAGCCTCAATTGACAGATCAATTTTGCAATTAACCTGATTGCAATGTATATCTTTCAATTGGGGCATGATTGACAGTTAAATCAGTCTAATTGCTAGATTAATATTGTAATCAAGATTAAATTGACTATTCAATTAGTCTAATAGCAAGATATATCTGGCAATTAGTCCAATTGCAAGATTTATCTCGCACTCATAAGCTGCTCTGAATACTTCAAACGTGCCAGATCGATCAATGAATCGAATCAATCAGTTGATCAACCAATAAACAAATCAATCAATCAATCAATCAATCAATAAATCAACCTATTCCCAAGAAACAACATTCGTTTATAGCAAGGAACATAGTGAATTTACAAATATATTCACTTATAATTATTACACGGGAGCTTTCTTTTGTCGAAGTAAACTTGACATGTTTCAATAAGAATTTTGTTGCCTGGCAATTTGACGAAAAAAACTTCCTCTGAATTCCGTAGGAAGGGTAATTTTTTCTGTGAGTTGGATTAACTAATGGCAACAAAATTCATATTATATATGCCAAGTTTACTTCGACAAAAAAAAAGCTAGAGTGTAAATCGGTAAGACAATTTAATTCAACAAACATTTGTTTATGGTTGGTTGTCATGCTTTCAAAAGTAAGGTTCCGTTATTGTCGCTGGAAAAGTTAGGGCAAACTTTTTCCGCTGTCATAATGACAAAATCACATGGCTTGTGGAATTTTTCATACATGAATCAAAATGTCAATAAAATGAAGAAGATAGTAAAATAAGACTCGCACCCAAGGAGACATATTTTTTTAAGGTTATATAAAATGATTCTCTATTAACTCGGCCGTTAGGTACTTGATGGAAATCTACAGTAATTGTGAAAACCTATAAAAATGAGATAAGATGTCAATAGTACAATGAGCTCTAATTGCCAAATAAATAGTCAATTAGGCCCTAAATCCAAAATGAGTTTTGCAATTAGCAATATTGACAAATTAACCAAGCAATTATAAATTTTTACGAAAAAAAAAAATCGTTTATACAGCGCCAAGATGCTATCAAATTTGATGTTAGTAATTGATTAAACTCACCGATGACTATCCAGTTGATTGATATCGATGGGTGTCAAATCTTTGTCCTCTGGTTGTGTTGAAATCCGTCTTCTACCGTGTAAACTAGTATTGTTTTCTTTGTCTTTGTGACTGCGTCGTCTGTGGGATGATATATCAGGTAAGGAGTGTTTTCGAGTTTTGCTATGGCTGTCATGATGATCTCTGCAATAAAAGGTACAATGTAACAATAGTAAATTGTTTTATTAGGATCGAAAGTGACACTTTTGGTAATGGACTTTTGTGTCGGTTGCAGAAAAAAATAATTGTGGGCTGTTGGAAATTCAGTGCACTCACTTTTTGATTCCTCTCTTATCTTGATTTAGATCGGAACTGTCAGTGTGATGGTTGTGGTTGTCGGGAAATGAAACTTTCTTCTCTGTTGGAGTATCTTCTAAATGTGTATGAGGCAGGTGATTGGAGGGATCGGATATGATGTTTTCTGATTCGGAAACGTCTGGAATGTCTTCTACATCTTCGTTTGTCAGGCTGGTCAATGGACCTGAAACAAAATATATGAATTACTATTTCACTCATCACATAATCTGACCAATCACAAGCTACAGACAACGTGTGCGTATCGAGAAAACATTAGCTGTCTTTCAATTCTGATTGGACTATCAGCTCATCATAAGTAATATCATAATGTTTTGAGTATTCGAGATAATTCTGTTGCTTCATTGTTCACGAAATTATGTTTCCAAGCAACTCCACATAAATATATAATGTTGTAGCCACCTAGTGGCAAAGCTCTAGGGTAGAATCTAGAGATCGCGACACACACTGTATGGCGATGCCATCTATAGTCACACATACAGACCCCTAAGTCTATACGCTACAGAGTGGTACTACAAGTAAATATACCCGAAGCGTAGAGTTGTCAGCAGACCGAGAGCAGCTGATGAGACCTGGTGGGTCGAAACAGTACTGTCTCCCTCCTGCTGACAATTGGGGCAACTCTGTCCATCCTGGATCTCTTAGTTATGGAGTCTAGCAGTTATTGAATAGGTGGTGGAAAAATTCCACTCAAGTATGTCAGGTAGTGCCATCTGTCAGCAGAGTGGTTTAGTTGTAGTAGCACTCTGTAGCGTATAGACGTAGAGGTCTGTACGTGTGACTATAGATGGCAGCGCCATACGGCAGCGCCATACAGTGTGTGTCGCGATCTCTGGATCCTACCTTAGAGCTTTGCCACTAGATGGCTACAACATGACTATAACTTCATGTTATACCCTGCGTCTTCGAAATGGGTGATATACCCGAAGCGTAGAGTTGTCCCAGTTGTCAGCAGACCGAGAGCGGCTGATGAGACCTGGTGGGTCGAAACAGTACTGTCTCGCTCCTGCTGACAATTGGGGCAACTCTGTTCATCCTGGATCTCTTAGTTATGAGATCTAGGAGTGGAGTTGTTTTCAACGATGTCACCATGGAGAGCGAAGCAACGTCTGGATGTACCCATGTATAGCGAAGCAAAGTCCGAGGCAAAGTCTGCCTGTATTTGTCAGAAGGAATCACTCATTTATAATAAATGCTTCTGAATATCTTCTCACAATTCTGCCTTCCATTGTTAATTCAATTGTTATCGTATAGCAATACCACTCGTCCTGACGGACTCGTGGTGTTGCTCAGCAACACAATTTCGTGAACAGTGAAGCGACAGAATTATCTAGAATATTCAGAACATCGTGATATTACTTATAGAAATTTAACGATTCTGAATCGAATGACGATGAAATCTACAGAATTTTGAGATGAAAAATAAATTGATGAACAATCTATCTGGGCTTGATTTATATAAATCATTTGTATACTGGGTGTTATAAAAACAGAAACATTAAGATGTTCTATAAAACAAGAAGAATCGCGGAGAACGAAGCGACGTTGCCACAGTGCTGAGATGGCAAACAAAGTTTTACAGCCAACCAGATGATAAATGGTCACGTCACTGTGTCGTACCCAATTGGTGATTTTTCACCACGTCATCATTACGACGTTGAGTTAACGTCACTTGGATGAGTAAAATATGACGTCAGTTTCATGATGTTGCAGGAACTTCGTGTCAACGTCATATTTCTCTATAGTTATAGGTATATGTGGAAAGTAGCAATAATTTTGTTATTTCGATTGGAACACCCTGTATTTTATTGTATGTTTGAAATCTTCCTGAAGAGTGTATTTCACCGACCTATCACATACTGGGGTTGAGTGAAAATGATTACAGAAATATATCGGGTGTGAAAAATTGAGATATTTCAAATTTAGTAATTTTATGTGTCGAAACTATTAATTATTGCTAAAAAAGGCTTCCATGTCCCCATCTCAACTATTGATTTACTATATCTACTGATATTTAATTGAAACAAATACAGGGTGGCCTATAATTCAAAATTCTGATCACCTCCCAATTAAATATCAATTGATAATGAATGAAAAGTTAAGATACTGTCAAGACTCAAGAGAGCTTTTTGAATCAATAATGAATGGTTTCAACACAATAAATTAAAAAAGTTGAGAATTCTCGATTTTTTACACTTTACGTAGTTGTCTTTGGCTTGTAATTGGTCAGATTCTCAATCTCAAGATGATTGAAATAGTCAGAAATATATTGCTTTTCCTTCCCTATAATGGAACGGGACAACAACATCAAATAAAACAATTTTACTAAATGTCATCTGAATATTCCATATTTATGATTAAATTGCCTTCTCCAATTCTAGCTTCAATAATGCCCTACCAGGATATATCGAGTTGCCGCACGATAAATCCGAATAATATCTGAAATAAAGTACGCTTGCATGTCTTATACATATAATAGGGAAGTTTCCAATATTCAAAATTTGATTTCTCCGGGGAGAATTAAATAAAAATTATTGTATACGTATACAGGGTGATTGAGATTTAAATGTACATACGATTCCTGTAGATAGAGGACACTTTGATGATTCCAAATCACCCCACATTGATGTGTCTATCGTCTTTTAAAACTGACACAGTGCGTTATCTTGATTCATTTGGTCATAGCTTTTGAACCACTTTATATAATCTATCAATACTTATTGGTAGAAAAATTCCACTTAACACCATAACACAGAACAGCAGCTATTTAATTAATAAAAAAAAAACACTCTGTATAGGAAAATTCTGTTAATCTGCTTGGATATTTGAAAAGCGCGGAAAAAATGGATATAGTTACCCACTCGCGCATGCGATTTGACAGATGTTTTATTGTTATTTTTTTAAATATACATATAAGCTCCATTTGAGGCATTTTCATTGAACTCGTAATTCAAAATCCAATTTTAATAGAAAAAAATAACAGTCTTCAAAGTTCAACATCATTAGAATCAAATTAGGTGAACTATCGATAGATTCGTTCGATTCACAGAATAACGAGTCTATGATTTTCGGAGTGAGAGATACCTGAATAGATATTCAAATCAACTATAAGTCAATGTATTTGATCAAGTGAATGGGTAATATGTTAATGACTATAGAATATGATTGATAAACCTACTTGAAATGAATATAATATATTTTAAAATGATAGATAGAATATGAATTTATGTTGAGATTGAATACGCTATTGTGGGAATACTATCATTCAATGTTTTGATATTCGTGTTTCCACAAAGTTTCCTATTACTTTCTCAAATTCCAGCAAAGTTTTACTCATCAAAGTAAGGATGAAATAGTACAAAACTACTTGATATGAAGCTGATCACTGAAGTTTATAAAAGTACTAGGGAAACGCCCAGTGACAATAGGTAACAAAGAAGACTACAAAGACATGGAACAATAACGTCAAAGTAGTGGTAACTGTTTTATTATAAAAGTAGTGTAAGTATTAAATCAATAACGTCAACGAAATGAACGTTAAAATGCCTTCTTTCAGTTGAAATAATGGTTACGTTAATGTAATGATAATTGGAACATAAAGGTTACCTTAATACGATGAACTTTGTGTAACGTAAAAAGGCTTTGTTACGTTGAAGGACATTCAACGTTACTGGGAGGAACTGGAAACTTCATTGAGCCCTATATCATAACGTTTAATGTTATCATGGTTACAAGAATGTAATGAAACTGACATGATTTTTTGCCCAGTGAAAAACTCCTTATATTTCAACATAAATAGTTGCTGGCGTTTCCAGAAAACCGGGAGTCCGCCATATTGGATAGTAATGTCATTAAATCCGTAATGGTTGCTTACATATGTGTACCAAATCTCATCAGAAAAATCCGTTCACGAATGCAGAAGTGACTCAATATCGTACAAAAAGTACCTAATAGATTTTTCAATGATTCACTTTTTTATATAATTTAGAAAATATACATGATTCTAAGGATTTTTGGAGGGCTGTTAGAATGACTTTGATTACGCAACTTTTTCGAATACAAGCGAATTCGTATATTCCACTGTTTTCAATACTATGCCGCCTTATCTTGGTCACACTGTATATTTCAGTTATGTGCAGAATAGTTTCAATATTCGAAGTTGGAATAAATAGAATTAATTTGGAATTCCAACTTATACACCGTCCTACTGTGCATCTTGCCTAGTACACTAACTTTTTTCCAGAAGCGGATGTTCCGGGTCATTCCAGTGGCTATCGACGATAGCTGGCACCGGAGTCGAAGGCTGTATCGTCCGCCGTTTCATTGACTTGAAACCGATCTTGAGAGGGGCATGCATGTGTGGGTAATCTCTTTCACGGTGCCCTGAAAAAACAACAGTGCATGTTTAACCAGCGAATACAACAATAGTCATTTCTATACCTTTTCAACTTCATTTTCGGAATTGGTAAGTTACATTTCGATCGATCGATTTCAGAATTGGTTAGTTCGATTTCAGAAATGGTAAACTCAATTTCAGAATCGGTGAGATGAATTTCAGAAAAAGTCCATTCGATTTCAGAAATGGTAAGTTGTATTTCAGAATTGGTAGGTTCAATATCATAAAAAAATCCTTATACAGGGTAACTCACGGTCGATGGTACGTTAGACGTTTATGGAGAACGGGACATAGGATCATTCTGAAATTTTGGTGACTCACGTAGTTGCTCTTGGTCTATCGATCTCTATTTTCAGCTCTGCGGCGTTGCCGCTTCTATCGAAAAGTAGCAACAACTTTGTTATTTAGAATGGAACACCCTGTATTTTATTGCATTTTCAGATTCTCTCTGAAGAGCTGATTTCATCGATGTATCACACTTGGGGTCTAGCGGCAATGATTACAGAGATATAGGGTGTGAAAAATCGACATTTTTCAACTTTAGGAATTTTTTTTGTCGAAACTATTCATTATTGGTCAAAACGGCTTACATGTCCCTATCTCAACTTCTGATTAACTATCTACTGATCTATAATTGGGACATATACCGGGTGATCAAGATTCTGAATTCTGCACCACCCTGTATTTGTTTCAATTGAATGTCAGTAGATAGTTGATCAAAAGTTGAGATAGGGACATGTGAGCCGTTTTGACCAATAATGAATAGTTTCGACAAAAAAAATTCCTAAAGTTGAAAAATGTCGATTTTTCACCTCGTTTTTCACACCCTATATCTCTGTAATCATTTCCGTTAGACCCCAAGTGTGATGCATCGATGAAATCAGCTCTTTAGAGAGAATATGAGAATGCAATAAAATACAGGGTGTTCCATTTAAAATAACAAAGTTGTTGCTACTTTTCGATAGAAGCGGCAACGCCGCAGAGCTGAAAATATTTTAGATCGATAGACCAAGAGCAACTACGTGAGTAACCAAAATTTCAGAATGATCCTATGTCCCGTTCTCCGTAAACGTCTAACGTACCATGGACCGTGAGTTACCCTGTATTTGTTCGAAATGTTTCCAATTGCATGTGAGATTAACCATACTGTCTGTAGGTTAATCGAGGAGGTGGTATATTCATTATTCCAAATTTTTTGGGATTTTCTCTCCTCGTTTCTATAAAATAAAAATATGAATATTATTTCAATATACGTGTAGTAAGGACAAATCAGATGATTTGCCCCAAAATGTCACTGCGTTTAAAGAATTTTCCTATCAGAGAGCCTAAAAGAAAAATTCACTAGCTTGTCAGTGACAATTTGTATTGAAAAAATTTTTGGAGAAGGGAAATAAAGGTATATAGAAAAAATATCAAATTTTCACTTATCTTTGGACGTTTCGGGACCGGTTCTGCTCCCGTTTTCAACATAAGAAGAGATTATTTCAATAGCGAAGTCGTATAATGTCTTGAAGCTTTCAGTTTTCAATGACAATTGGTGACGTTGGCAATCAAATGAGTTACAGGATGTTTTCATTAATTGATCTTGAATTTACCATTTTCATGTTCAGATTTTAGTAGTGAATACCATGTTCTGTCTATATCAACTGAACAAGAAGCAATGTTATTGTCTCCGTTCAGAAGAATGCAAGCAGATTCCTTGATTTTTCTCTTCTGGTTGTTATCTTCTTTTCCAATAATTTTAATATTATTCCACTCTGCCATATGTTGTCCGTCTTCAGTAAGGATATGTTCAGCTAGTTTCGATTTATCGATGTTTCTTTTCTTTATATTGTACTTATGTTCCTTCGTCCTTACTGAAAGAGGTCTCTTGGTTTCACCTGTATAAAACTTTCCACAAACACAAGGTATACTGTAAATACAATTTTTTGATGATTGTTCTTCATTTTTCGGCTTTGTTTGAGTTAGAATTGATCTCATTGTATTTTCAGTTTTGAACACAGTTTTCACTTGAAATTTATCACCAACACGTTTTATTTTTTCAGATATGCCGGGAATGTATGGTATTATATTTGTCGTTATTGATGGTTGATTTTGTTGTGGTTGACCCTGTTTGTTTTCAATTCGATGAATCGTCCTATCGACAAAATTCTTTGGATAAGAATTGAGTTGGAGAACATTTTTAATGTGGTGGACTTCGTTATTGAAAATTTGTTGGTCAGATGATATTGATTTGGCTCTATCATGGAGTGATTTGATTATTCCTTTCTTAATACTTTTCTGATGATTTGATTGAAAAGTATTAAGAAAGGAATAATCAAATCACTCCATGATAGAGCCAAATCAATATCATCTGACCAACAAATTTTCAATAACGAAGTCCACCACATTAAAAATGTTCTCCAACTCAATTCTTATCCAAAGAATTTTGTCGATAGGACGATTCATCGAATTGAAAACAAACAGGGTCAACCACAACAAAATCAACCATCAATAACGACAAATATAATACCATACATTCCCGGCATATCTGAAAAAATAAAACGTGTTGGTGATAAATTTCAAGTGAAAACTGTGTTCAAAACTGAAAATACAATGAGATCAATTCTAACTCAAACAAAGCCGAAAAATGAAGAACAATCATCAAAAAATTGTATTTACAGTATACCTTGTGTTTGTGGAAAGTTTTATACAGGTGAAACCAAGAGACCTCTTTCAGTAAGGACGAAGGAACATAAGTACAATATAAAGAAAAGAAACATCGATAAATCGAAACTAGCTGAACATATCCTTACTGAAGACGGACAACATATGGCAGAGTGGAATAATATTAAAATTATTGGAAAAGAAGATAACAACCAGAAGAGAAAAATCAAGGAATCTGCTTGCATTCTTCTGAACGGAGACAATAACATTGCTTCTTGTTCAGTTGATATAGACAGAACATGGTATTCACTACTAAAATCTGAACATGAAAATGGTAAATTCAAGATCAATTAATGAAAACATCCTGTAACTCATTTGATTGCCAACGTCACCAATTGTCATTGAAAACTGAAAGCTTCAAGACATTATACGACTTCGCTATTGAAATAATCTCTTCTTATGTTGAAAACGGGAGCAGAACCGGTCCCGAAACGTCCAAAGATAAGTGAAAATTTGATATTTTTTCTATATACCTTTATTTCCCTTCTCCAAAAATTTTTTCAATACAAATTGTCACTGACAAGCTAGTGAATTTTTCTTTTAGGCTCTCTGATAGGAAAATTCTTTAAACGCAGTGACATTTTGGGGCAAATCATCTGATTTGTCCTTACTACACGTATATTGAAATAATATTCATATTTTTATTTTATAGAAACGAGGAGAGAAAATCCCAAAAAATTTGGAATAATGAGATTAACCATATTTAAAATATTCAACTTTTCAAAAACATTTCAATCCACAGATGCCTTCCATCTGAATCGCAGGAAGATAGTGGCGTTGCACATGATTATAATAAGAATGCTAACACATTTGAGGTGTTATCATTTTCATTGAATGATCTGCACATTCTTCAAGACATCGCAGTCAGAATTCTATCTGGTTGAGCAATCTGTTCGGATCCCCAGCTATGACCTTTGGGGTGATTCTTTGGCTCATTTTAAGAAGAAAACTGCATATGAACGTATGTCCTAAAAGTCCTAACTTTTGAGATACAGGGTGATGAAATTTGAAAAATATTCAATTTCTTGATAATAACTGACAATATTGTATACATCTACATGAAATTTAGTACACGTCTTTTTATGCATTTCATGATATACACAAATTTGTATTTTCTCTACCAGTAGCACCGTTACGGGAATTTTATTGTTTATATTTTACTCAAAAGTGAGCAACGACGGAAATTTTTCAAATATCTTGCAATGCTATGAAAGGCTATTCGACTATGTACAAAAAATGATCCTCTTGTGGATTCTCGATAGAATGCTTCGTTTCAGAGATAAAACGGAAAAACGAGACCAGACTTCAAATTTTGATATCTGAGTATTCCATTCAGGACATCCATTACTGGATAACCACAGTATGTAACATTTTGAAATTTTCATACGGATTCAGTCACATAGCAGACTGAATTTTGCCTTCACAGGGTGGAAAAAAAAAATTCTATGCAAATTTTCGGCATTGACACCTTTTATCTCAAAAGATAGGACGTATAGGAGATATGTTCATATGAAGTTCTTGAAATGGGTCGAATAATCGGCCCCTTGAATATTAGCATTAAGAGACACCCTGTATATGGCCCTGGAATGAGTTAAAATAATTTTTTGAGAGTGATTTTTTTCCATCAATTCATCGTATAAAAAATTATTGAAAACGCCAAAATGAACGAACGAATCCAAACGAAACGTGCGATATCAGTGCGCAAGCAATTTGGATTGGTAATAATCTCACCTTCTCACGGGTGCCGATAAAATGCACAATGGACTTGACAATGATGCCAATTTGAACAGAAAGCTATGATTAGTCGGATATTCATTTCTCGATTTTTCGTTTCAGCAAATAATACAGACGTTTGAAATGACAGGTATTGAAATAGCATTTTCAATATTAAATAATTCTTGTTCGATTCTATCGATAAATATGTGGTCAGGATAACGTTTTTGACTTCCCTTCATACCATTATAGCGAAAAAGGATGAAATTGTCGATACTGGAAAGGCCAATTTGATTTGCTGAAACTTGGTCAGTAACGTCACACTACCAATTAGTGACGTCAGTAGGTATCACGTTGTTTTTATGAAGTGTTGATCACGTCATCGATGTGACTATGATCATACGTGCCTACATAATTGGCCCCTATGGGTTACAAAAGTTGTGAGAGTTGCTTTTTCCCTTTAAAATGGGTAAAGAATGTCGCATTCATTCAAATAGTTATATGAATATAATTATGATATTGAATTTTATTAATACAACGATATTCTTATAAACAGAATAAAAAAGTTGAAAAATCAACGAGTAACGTATTTTTCACCCATTCAACGTTGAATAAACGGTGAATTAACGTACGGGTGACATGTTAAGGTATCACCGCCTGTAACAGTTTTATCTTTGATAGAAGAAAAAATTTAAAACGATTTCGACCTTGGCGGTAAAATTGAATCCGATTGAATCGCTGTTTTCTCACATCACATGAAACATCTATATCAATTAACAATTCACGCTAGGTTGAAAGGTTAAGTCTAATTTGAATTTTCAAAAATTGCAACCACATTTTGAAGAAATTTAAATGAAGTGGGTTGTTTGACTTCTGACATGTAACGGTCATTGAAAATTATATGCACTGAAATGTTGTAAAAAAGATATTATATTACAAATCGCAATTGAGTGTACAGCACTCAAAGAACTCAACAGCTGTCGCTCATTTTTAGTATAGTTTTTGGTAGTTTGTATCACAACAAGGATCATAATTTCATATTCTAATTTTTTTTCGAGCACGAATGGGGAAATTTACCTCAATTTGAAGAAAACTACTTATAGTTGTTGATAAATTAATTCGCAGACGAAAAAATGATTGCATAGGTCAAGAACTTACGGATATAATCTTTTTCTCCGAATTTCGGTTGTCCAGAAAAATATTCAGGGTCATGGAAGTTGTATCCTTCATAGTCATTGTCCATGACGAACACTTTGGCACATTCTTCGTCGAGTCCAATATCATTATTGCCATCATTCTGCAACAAAAAAACAAATGCATTAGCATGCATCACAGTGTTTCTCGATCTGGCTAAGGATTTCGATACTGTTTCCCATGAAATCTTACTCAGCAAGCTAAACAATTATGGTGTGCGAGGGGACGCGCACAATCTCTTAACAGACTACTTATCTAACAGCGAGTGAAGATTGGTACAGAGGTTAGCTCAGACACCATTATAAAGGTAGGTGTACCACAAGGAACGGTTCTAGGTCCACTACTGTTCCTCGTGTACATGAACGATATAACGAATATTAACAATTTTAATGGTCACCTAATCTGTTACGCAGACGATACTGCCATAATATTTACTGGGAACGAGTGGGAAGACGTGAAACTCACGGTAGAATCAGAGCTAAAAAATATCAGTCTTTGGCTAAACCACGATAAACTCTTTTTAAATATTGAAAAAACTAAATTTATTTCTTTCAGCTCAACAAAGGTAAACCAACCAAATAATTTGTCCATAAAACTATACTGTCCAAATTGTGAAACAGAAACCTGTAGATGTCCAATTATTGAGAAAGTTGCATCAATAAAATATTTAGGTGTCATTTTAGATCAACATTTGCGATGGTCAGAACATATTACTTAGGTTAGTAAACGACTGAGAGCACTAATGCACAAATTCTACGAATTGCGAAAAATTCTTTCCAGAAAAAAATTAATTATGGTCTACACATCTTTGGTTGAATCTGTACTAAGATATTGTATAGTAGCATGGGGAGGAGCTTTCAATACTACACTGAATATTTTACAGACTGTGCAGAATACTATATTAAAAATCATTTTCAAAAAACAAAAATTATTTCCTACTGAGAGATTATATGATGAAGCGAAGATATTCAATGTTAAAATGATATTCATCTATCAATGTATTATAAAAGTGTACCTACGCTAGTCCTGAAAAAATTGAATATAAAAATAATTACATAACTCGCTCCACATCTAACATGAATCTTTCAATTCAACTATTCAAAAAAACAGTTCCTCAAAGATCTCTATCATATTTTGGGACCAAATTCTATAATCTATTACCCTTACATCAAAAAACAAACTCAAACTGGAGAAATTCAAAAAAGGAATCCGAAATTATATAACAGATCACCAAAGGGTTTTCTTGGACATAATGACTATCTGAATTAACATCTTTAGCCATCTCTTCATTCTTTTCATCATTCTTATTGTCATCATCTTCTTTTTCTTTTTTTCCTTTTTCAATCCACATCTCTATATCCTGCCTGCATTTTGAAATATAGGATTGTTTATATAAATACATTCAATTACCTACCAATATTCTATTATTTGATGTACAACTCTTCACAAAATGCCTCAGAATCAGCACAGCAATGCAGGCAATCCTGCCTGGGCTTAATGCTTATTCTGGGTCGTTTTTAACAATTTGATATTTATAAAATTCATAATTGTACTCAAGCACTAAATAAATAAAATTTGATTTGATTTGATATACTTATTCAAATGTTGATTTTAAATCCTATATATACTATATACTTCAAGCACCCACTCAAATTAGCAAATGCTTATTGGTACTCTGTTGGAGTAGGTACCACTTGAGTCGAGTTGAGTAGTCAATATTTTCAAGAGCGTGGAAAAAATGTGTAGAACGTCAGTGTGACGGTGTTATGACGTAATACTCAGATCAGGATATCAACATGACTTTGATTATATGTCATTTATAAGAGTATTAATATGTCAGTTCTCAGTGGGAACCAGGACATACAAAAAATCGATGACGTAGGTATAAAGTTCAGGTAGGTGTGAAGTTCCAATCTGGTGGTGTTCAGAGAATTTGTCGATATTGTGCTATATTTAATTTCCTCTTGAATAATAGAAAAACATGATTATACGTTTCTTAACAAAGTAGAGCTTCATACGCTAACTTTTGATTGTTTTGTTCGCCTATTACATCTCACCGAATCGCATCCATGATTTCAGATCGGAAATACGAATTGCTGATCTTGGTATAACGATATCGTTAAGTTAACATAGAATAGATATACAATGATTCATACGATGCAAAAAACTGAAATTCACCGTTACCTTCATCAGCTACTATTTGTTTTTGTTATTTGTAGAAACTCCTATCAAATCGCATCTACTGTGTTTCGGTCGAAGTTCTTGACCTACGGCCTACTTGACAGAAGGATTCTTTTCAATATCGCGGAATATAGGTCGCATTTGACCCGTTAGATGGCGAAATCTCAACCAAAATTCAAGGTTGGTAGAACTGATTTAATTAAAATTAAAATTCCCCAAAATTACAGTTTTGTACTCTCAAATTCAATCTCATTTGATTTGAGGTTATGTTATGATATTATTATTTCTGGTTCAAGCAGTGTGTGAGTGCCGTTTTCTGTTTCCTGTCATGATAAAAATCTGTAAAAAGTCTCGCCATCTCTTTTCCATAGGGAGTGTTCCCAAAAACTTTTAATCCCCAAAAAATACAAAAAAAAACAATACCTAAATTCTCTCCCTATCCTCCTTAGGTATGCACGAAGTTCTTCGAAAATTATAGGGATTCACTTTCGTGCGCTCCAAGAGTCACAAAAAAATTATATGTTTTTGTGTAGAACTTCGAGATCATCAGTATTAACATTACAAGTCGATAAAGGAAACTGGATATATCTTTCTTATTCTAAGAACTGAAAATAATTTCGATAATAATGGTATAGTTTTGTGGATACGTTTTAGGAACAGCCAGGATAATTGGTGCCTAGAGAAAGAGAAAGAGGAAATGAAAACAACATTTATAAGAGTGAGATAAACAATATGTGATAATTTCTCTTTACCCTGAAAGGGAGAATTTAGCTAATGCGATTTTATTAAACAGATGAATAATATTTTTGAAAATAGAGAAACTCATCGTTAGTTTAACATAAAATTCTTGATCTTGGAAATATGAGAACAAATTGAATAAATCACCATGAAATGTTTCGAACAACTCTCTACCATAAACATTGTGTCTGTCTGTGTCCGCAACAAATATCATGAACACCCTTATAGGATTAAAAAATGAGAATAAAACTATATCTTACTCTTCGATTTCCATTAGTGGAAACCTTGTTCATAAAAACCCACTTCACAAAACTTTTGTACCTCAGTTTCAACTTCTTGATATCACTCATTATCAAATATGTGTAAAGGCAAAAAAATAAGTTCACATCAATTAATAGAAACAACATCGGTTAGTGTACAATCGACACGAGAATGGAATAAGGATTTGATTATCACAAAAAAATATATAGGTATCTATTTGTTTCACTGAATACATGTTCCTTCTAAGTATTTTATGCGTACCAAATCAGATTTGGCAATGATTAGTTGAATGCCAACGAATGATATTAATATTCATGCAAAAGGTACAAAAAAATAAAGGTAAATAATTTGGTTGAGTTCTCTCATAGGTCATAAAATCATAACAAAAGCGTATTTTTGTGACCTTACAACAGAAAAACAACGGTATGATAAGATGAAGAAAACAAGAAAACAATAATTATAATTAATCAATCATGGTCATACTTTGTAGTTCAAAAGAATCACACAAGGCTGCAAAAATTCAAATCAATTATCTTAATACAATATACAGGGTATTTCCTCGGGTATCCCTGAATATCATTAAGAAATGTGTCTTAAATTGGTTTCATTTTGAGTTACAGTTTGTTTTGGATGATGGAGGTTAGGTTAGAAATATGTTTTTTTTTAAGATTGTCTCGGGGAATGTGTTCCAGAGCCTCGCTGTTCGTTGGATAAACGAGTCTTCGGAAAGAGATGTTCTGCAGGTCTCCAAAGAGACCACGAAGGGGTGCGAAGCCTCAACTCGACGGGTTTATTTCGCGGGGACTGCCAAGGGAGGAACAATTGTTGATATTTCAGAAGAGCATCGTCCATGGAAAAATCTATAAAATAGGGCTAGATCGCCAACTTTTCTACGGTGTCCCAGAGAAGTGAGTGAGTTTGTGAGCGAGACGAATGGCCATTTAATGGACAGAATCCAACAGTTTCAGGGTATGTTTGGGTGCTGCACTCCAAATATGGGAACAGTGTTCCAGGACAGGTCGAATCTGTGCCTTATAGATCATCAGCAGCTGACTGGAAGTGAAATAGCTCCTGGCCCGAAACAAAAAACCAAGTTTTTGGGATGCACTTTCAGCAATTGATCTCACGTGATTTTCCCAAGAAAGTTCGTTGCTGATAGTAATCCCAAGCATCGAAATGGATGTCTTCCAAGGATGGTAACTCCTGACAAGCTCATGCTGGGTACAGTGAGATCGGCTTTTCTAGAGAAAAGGCATGCTTGTGTTTTGTTTGCATTGAAATCTACCAAGTTATTGGATCCCCATTCGAGAATTGTTGCCAAGTCTATATTTATGTTGTCAACATTTCTTCCTCGTTCGTTTTTGATTTGCCTGGCTGGAATTGGAGCCCTGGAAGAGAGGGCGGTATGGAGGGTATTATCATCCGCGAAGCCGTGTACTGGACATGAAGTTACTTCCAACAAATCGTCGACATGGAGTAGAAATAGTGTTGGTGTTAGAATTGATCCTTGCGGAACACCAGCATTTATGATAAGAGAGTCAGATGAAACTCCGTCGACCACTACATGGAGAGACCTGTTTGAGAGAAAACTAGCTAGCAGAGAACATAGCTAGGGAGGCAAGCCATAAGATGGAAGCTTGGCGAGGAGTCCGTGGTGCCAGACTCGATCGGATGCCTTGGAGATATCAAGTGCCACGGCTAAAGTTCCACTCGGGTTTCACCATATTTTTTAATAGATTGCTGCCATATATGTGAGACATAAGCGAGCAGGTCACCAGTTGACCTCTGATGACGGAAGCCACATTGCCTTTCGTTAATACCAGAATGTTCCAGGTATTTCATGAGCTCGATGTTGATAGCTTTGAACAGGGTGGGTACTTTAACTGGAATAAATTCGCTACTGGGGGAGTGAATAATATTTCTGAAAATTCGCGAGACACGTCAACGTTCAAATGTATTTACCTACATTTGGCGAGCAATATGAAGAATATAACCCTCGATATAACCCTTCTGGGGTAGCTGGAATCAACCCCAACATGTTTTTTTGAATGCAACCCTATATGGCATGCGACCCCTCATTGGAAAGCTGCTTGAAAGAAGTATCCAGCGTACTGATCATATTTCAGTGAGCAGTACGTTTGGGGGTTGCATAAAATCAAAATACATGGTTAATATATTTTCAACGTATTTTCATCAAAATTTCGAATTTTAGTGACAATTATATAGGGCATTTCCACAAGTTTGCAATAACTTTTCGTTTCGAATTGAAGACCACAGTGGAAAATGGGAGAATATCACAAAAAGTAAGTTCCGAGAAAAACGCATTTCAAAGTTTAAAACCTCCTTACTTTTTGGAAGGTAGAGGAAACTGAAATCAAACCACCTGGATTCATTTGATGGAGTATAATGAGCAATAAAGTTCAACAACTAGAAATAAAAATCATAATTGAATAACAAAATCACCGAAAACAAAAAATAGTCCGAAGATTCAAGGGACAAATGGGGAATGTCCAAATGAATTCTTAAAGTACTGGATTGTTTACTCGCAATTATCTGCTGTGGTACATTTCTCCATCCTTGCATGACTAGCTAATACGCGGTATCATAAAGTACATCTATAGCATCTCTAAAATTTGATCATTTTCTATAAATTCCACGAGATATGAGTAGGAATCATCATGTAGCAATATCATTATTTCATTCCCATCACTCAGACGTACTCGACAAACCCAGTCAGCACACCATTTTGTCGTCAACCTCGAAATATGTCGAACAACTCTTTACCAAAACTCGTTTATACATAGAGCGGCAAAGCTTTGGAATTTTTTGCCAAACAGAGTATTCCTAAGAACTTATAATCTCAAAATGTTGAAAAAAATCCCAATACACCTCGCCTTCTTATCCTTTCTAGGTACCCACGATGTTCCTCGAACATTATAGGGATTCCGTTTCGAACGTTCTAAGAGAAGAAGAAAAGGTGGCCGTATCTCTTTTGTCTTCTCATCTTGTTTGCCTGAGAGTTCAGTTTGACCTTTTGACCTTTTGACAGTGTGAAAACAACCTATTATTATCACAATGGAATCTGTATTCAAGCAAGCACTAAGATTTACATTTTTGGAGTGGACATTCCGCATTTTTTCCATGTGAAAGTATTTTCGAACGAGCATATGAGCTGACTATTATGCTGCGTTATTGCTATGGACTTCTGTTTATACTAAAATACAGTGCTAGTCAAAAGTCCCCTCCCCCCCTCGTATCATTTGAACGGGTATACTTATAATAATAAAATTTGGAGGGTGGAAATAAACGGATGTAGGCTTCTCAACTGGTCATAACAGGTGACGCAATAGTCATAAATGACGTCACAAGGCCACTGTGACCAGTATACCCGTTCAAAAGATACGAGAGGGGGAGGGGACTTTTGACTAGCACTGTATAGTGGTTAGCTCGGTGGTTAGGCTATCAGATGGCGGTGTTGAATCAATTTCCACTATATTGTGATATTCCCCCTTTTTCCCCTGTGTTCTTCAACAGTGAATAAGGCAAAGAAAACTGAATTACACAGAAAAATAACATACCGTACTGATATTCATAATTTAAATATAAGATTTAAAAATATTTTAACGCCGCCCATATTCAATACCGAATTCTTCAAGAGATCATTCAGCTTTCACATATGTAGAAACTATAACTTTTTGTTGAATTACCATCAATAATTATCGAGCATTTAGTAGTATTGATCGGACATACACTACATACACATACACTACCATACACTACCTTCATAAATTTCTATATTTTTCTCTCTCTTTTCCCTTTCACCTATACATGATACTGTTTTCATTATTTTTCAATTTTTTTCCCTGTCTCTCTGTTTGCTCGCTCACAGGGAATTTTTTCAGGTTAAGTGGAAGAACAGCTTTCGTTTAGTTCTGCTAAATGAAAGCTGAACTTCGCCTTTTATTTTGTTTAAACCATTATGGATACAAATTGTAGTTTTTTTTGTTAATTGAAAATAATAAAGACGTATTATTATTATTATTATTATTATTAATTTCTTACGTTGAAAAAAAATTAATTTCAAAATTACATTTCAATTTCATGCAACCTTCAAACATATGAAAAATTATATTTTACTTATACGATGGATTCCTATTTCCACCAGCTTTCCAATAAGGTGTCACAAGTCGGAAGTATGAATTTCTTATCCAGGGACGAAAAGGAAGTAAAGTATTTTCGGTACTTTTTGAGACACCCTGTGGAGTTAACCAATCACAATTTGCAACACTAATTGTAGCCTGATTATATTCTAACATTTTCATTATTTATTCACTCTGATGTATCATTTATAAGAGATAATACAGGGTTGATCTTAATATTGCCGAAGCAGTATTTCCTCAGACAACAATTGATTCTGAGAATATTCGAAATTTTCCACGGGAATATTCGAAATGTTCTCACAAACTGCACTGAAACATGCAAATGGGACAAAAATTCACGTTCCAAGAACGTTCTCATAATATTTTTCAGAACATTCTCTGAACATTCCATGTATATATGGAACATCATCAGAATGATTTCGGAATATTCTCAGTATATATCAGGATATCTTGAAGCGCATAGAAAATATTTCAGGGACCAATATAGAAAGAAAATATGTTCATAACTGTATGTTCCGAAAGTGACTATTAGGGTGATAATTGGATAAAATAGCAGTAAATTTGAATTCACATTGAACCTTATTGATACCGCAGATGAGCATGATAAGTTTCATCAGAATCAGCGAAACTGATATTGAATAGTCAATAAAATTACATTTTTTTTTCTGAAAAATTTGACTACCTGTATCTCAAAAACGCTTCCAGCTGGGACATATGTTCACATGAAACATTCTATTTTTCAGATCATATGAATAATACATTCTATGAATATAGATGAAATATGCAATGAATATGATCGTAAAACCTTCTTTGAACATTCAGAACATCCTCATCATCTTCTATTAATGTTCTTTCGGAATATTCTGCTGGAAGCATGTTGTGAACGTTGTGAGTAATTCATAGAATATTCTGTGATTTCTGCACATTTATAACGTATTCATTATTGTCTCAGTGATTACTGAGTGACGTATTTTCAGAGCATTCGTGATGAAGCTTTAGTTTACACAGAGAATTTGGGGTTAAGTTGAAAAAACATTCTACTCATAATAATAACAACAGCATCATCCACATCTGATTTGGGCTTGGGCAATCTGCCAAGAGTTCGTGAATTTCATTTTTGTTAATTAATGTTGGCATTTCGGGAATTTGTGGAAAATGGAAAAAACTTTTCTTTGAGTATCCAGAATGATTTATTTGAAAATGTCATCTATTAATCACAACATCCGGCAACATTGAAAATGTTGATACTTCTGGTGCCTCTGACCTAGCCAAAGGCTAATACTCGGGTTCGGCTATTAACCATCACTAATCCAAAATTTCAGAACAATCTTTGAATTTGATAAGTTCCAAACTCGGTTCCAAAATATTTTTGTTTACAAAAATGTATATAAATTTTATTAATTTCTATTAAACATTTAATTTATTCATCGTTCCTTTTTCGCGGACAACCCAGTAGGGGCTGATTTACAGTTTTTTTTTTTGTTTTTTTTTCAATTCCGTTAAACAAGGTGGAAAAAATCAAAATGTATACATACTGTTATTAAAAAATTCGCACCTACTGCCAAAGAATTATCACCAACATGGGCCACAGTATTTGATTTCTTCCTCGATTTCTTCATTATTTAGGTACCTACTATTGGTATACACCTCGGTTTACACTCTAACTCTCTATGAGCGATATTTATAATTTTTTATAGGCATATAAGAGTGCATTATGATGATTAACATACAATCATCACATAAATAAGGAGTTACGATCGTAAAAATTATGATTCATCCATATTTTGAAATTCGTATGGGATCAACATCTTGAATCTCTACTCAAATAGAACAACTATGAAGTTTACATACTGCGATGGCTTTCGTTAAGAGTGGGCAATAGGACTGGAAAAATGATGAATACAGCGCTCTCGCTCCTGACGCTTTATGGGAAAACAGTTTGGCATATAGTACATTTTTAAACGCCATCATATAGACAAAGGTTCAAATTAGGGCGGATACTATCTCATTTTTCAAAATTCGAAAAAAAAAAGTTTCAAAAATGTATTTGAATATAGCATTATTAGCTGACGAAAAAAAAATATTTATACTGCTTGTTCAAGATTTTCAGATAGTATCCGCCCTAGAATGAACCTTCAATATGCTACAGAAAAAAAATCAAATCATAATGTGGCTTGGTTTCTTCACAAAGCGTCAGGAGCCAATCCTCTGCAACCTCAAAAATAGGCATAAGTTCACGATGATATTTGCGCCCTCTGGTGAAAGTTATATCAGAAGAACATGGCAGTCGATATAGCCTTAGTTCGGGTGATTTGATGAAATATAGAAATAATGAAATTTAAAAATAACCTATATAAATTCATGAAATTTCAAAAATAAACTAGTAGGTATTGATTACTTTGAGACAAAAATAATTTATTCTTCATACATTTTGAGAAGTATCATTTTATAGTTCGTTCGTCAATTAAGTGAAATCTATTGAATAATCTGATGCGTAATTTCACGCGAGTTCATTGCCTCAAGAGCCCATAATTTCGCTAAACGCAAAAAATCGTCTACAATAATAGAATACGTATAGGTGGTTCCCCGAACGGGTTGTTTTTTACACGGCGTAACATCCTGAGATGCAGGGTGATGCAGGATGCAGGTATACGTTTATGGTCAATGGAATAGAGAGCTTGAGCTTCTGAAATTTGTAGGTTTTACAATTTTGTATTTAGTGCGAGTGTAATATAATAGTGGTAGGTCATTAATGATTGATGACAGTATAAAAATGTTCAACATCCTTTGAATGTTTACGATTCCAGGTAAAATGAATCAATGTTGAATATTTTCGTCATGTCAGTAGTTTGATCCGCTTTATGCAGAAACGTTGAACTTTGTATTTGGTGTGGAAATGTTTTTGTGTTTGTGACTATAAGTATTGAAAATGCCGCCTATAAAACCCAGAGCAGGTGATTATCGTAAGGGAGAAAAAACAAAATCACATGTGTCGACAAAAAGACGTAGCCGGACGTAGGATATCAAGGGGGAAGAAAAATATCAGTATCGGTCGAATGTTATGTTCATTCTCTTCACCCAGACACCCCTATTTTGGAATTCCAAATGGCACCCCCTACTTCGAGATATATAAAATTCAAAGTCTAGCAATAATAACCAACCAGATGGAAAACTATCTTAGTATTCGATCCATAAATATCGGGACATAATCATTAAATTAAGTTATATTAGATCAGTTATTACAGCCAAACATTTCGTCAATTTTCATTGAAGGTATCCTCAGATCAATTCTTGTGGAGTCACATGTGGAAACAATGGTTAATAAAACTCAGCCAGAGAATATGGATGTACTCAAACTGATATATTTCTCGAAAAGTAGACAAATAAATGGGAAAACCTTTCAAAAAATTTTTCAAGAATTCTAGAATAGGCTGTACTATTGAGCATCAAATATTGAAGCATATTTTCGAATAATTGCTTCAAATACCTCTGTCAAAGATCACTCGCTCTCTCTAACTTTTGTAGATCACCAACATGAATCATTGAAATAAATTATTATTCATCTGGTCGGATTGGTTTTTGTTTCCGCCTCAATTTGATGTATCTCAAGTTGCCATTTGGAATTTTATAAAGTAGAGGTGGCGGGGTTTGAAGGGATGATCATAGCATTCAATAGATACTAGTATTTTATTTCCTCCTCAATATCTGAATCAACCTATTTTTTTCCATAATTGTTATCATCGCACATCATAAGGCTAAGTGGTAAGTTTTGAAATCAAAGCTCTGTACTATGAATCGAGGAAATCGCCTATTTTGTAATATTCTCAGCTGAAACTGAATTTCAAAATTTTCTCTTCCAATGAGGAATTGGTGAAATAATCAACAATATTTCAATTTGTGCAAACTTAATCCACATCATAACATTTTTAACAATCAGGCATTTGATGAAATGTTGCCGCATATCATCGAGTTCAACCCGTTTCTATAAAGAGCACCGTACCATGTTCTTGACCTCACACAATATACCTCTCAATTCACAAGTTCTTGCGCTACTGCTGCTGCTGTTTTATATTCCACTTCAGCTGTGCTCAAAGCAACATAGTATCTAATGCTTTTCAAAGAACCAAGATACTGATTTTTTTGACAGCTATAACACAAAATTGCTTTCGTTTTACTATGTTTGATATCACAATGACTTCATTTTGTTATTATTCCACAAATTCTCATCTCTCATAAAATATAAAATTTCAAGCAATGACATCAACTCTGTCTAATAGATCAGCATCACTAAAGAGTGAGCAATGAGCCGCACAAAATAACAAATTCAGCGCTCTCGCTCTAGACTTCCCATTTCGAAACCATTCAATATTTTCAGAATTTTTTCGATTCATGCTCTAGCCAAAGGACCAAGGTAGGTTGAATACTATCTCATTTTTCGAAATTTTTAAAGAAAGAGTGGAAAAAACGTTCTCGAAAAGTGCTCAAAATTAGTCAATTTGGCAAATAAAAAAAAAATACGTGTACATGAAATAACCAATTTCCAAATAGTATCCAACCTAGGTCTATCTGTCAACAAACCACACAAAAAAAGCAGCTCGAAATAACGATCGATGTCTATACACGACGTCAAGAGCCGTTGCTCTACATTCTCACAAATACGCACGATTTGGTCGATGATATTTGCGCCTACGTAAATCACCCTGTATAATATAACAGAAAAGTTAACTTTAACTGACGATACAGTTGAAATTCAAGAAAATAATGATTAAAGCCTACTCATAGTATCTGATGAGTCATTTCGTTTGCTTCTTGGTTTTTCAAGATCGGATTTTCAAAAGCAGCGCTATATGGCTTGAGGCTTTCAAAATCCTAATTTTTCCACACCTCTCGACCAATGAAGAGTGTCGTAAATCTTCATAACATATGTAAACGTAATGGATATAACCAAGGATATAACACAATCAAGGTGTTATCAAGTTAGATTCTATGACCGGATTACCCGATGAATATAGGTAGAATACATTTCGCTAGGAATCTGCTAGGCAGATTATTGGCAATATAAATAAATATTCGGACGCGGTAATCACCCCGACTAATTGACGAACCGGGTGAGTTGTCCTTTTCTAAAAAGGATGCTTGTTGATTTATGACTGTTTTGTAACCGCCCACTGCTATCTCTTCCTAACCCCCCCGGACCTCAGGTATAGGCGAGAATTGTCGCGTTTCTCAACCTTAAGTACTGAATGAATTCATTTTTAACCAAAATTTCTGAGGAATCTCCTGAAACAGGTCGATTTTTATTATCAAGTTGCAACATTTATAACAAAGAATCAAATATATACAGGGTGACCCACGTTTGAGTTATGACGACAACGTCTATTTGTATATATTTGTATACAGGGTACGTCACGACGAGCTTACAATATCTCTATATCGATACTCAGTCAGGAGAAATCCATGAAAATATGCAGGCTTATATTTTAGAATAGGCTCTCTTCATAAAAATATATTTAGCAATGCAGTGTTGCCGCTTCTATCAAAAAGTAGCAACAACTTTGTTATTTCAAATAGAATACCCTGTATTTTATTGCAATTTTAGATTCTCCCTGAAGTGCCGATTTCATCGATGTATCACACTTGGGGTCTATTGAAAAAGATTACAGAGATATATAGGATGTTCAAAATCGAGATTTTTCAAATTTAGGATTTTTTTTTTCAAAACTATTCATTATCGGTCAAAACGGCTCACATGTCCCAATCTCAACTTTTAATCCACTATTTACTGATATTCAATTGGAACAGATACAGGGTGGTTCATGCCGATGTGAATAATTGGAGTTTTAGTAGCAAAAGAACAAATCAAACTCAAGAATTATTTTGCATTCTTATCCATTTTCATTTTTATAACGGGAGCAGATTCTATTTCTATACCAAAACGTCCAAAAGATAAGAGAAATTAAAATAATCACCTCTATCTATCAACACGAAACGTAGATTCAATGAATGTGGTGTATATTACTGCACAGAAAAGGAATTATACATGGACTGTGGAGATACGCTACGCCCACTCAATACAATTGAATATATTTGGAGGACATGAAAAACATCTTATGATGATAAACATCCCGAACTTATGGGATACTATACGTCTACAAAACCTTTTGAGAGATGCTGAGGCATTCTCTAACTCTAATTCAACAATATGATCAAACTATGAAATATGTGGAAGAATATTATACGAGGTATGGCGAACATACTGAGTTGAGCAGTACGTTCCAGGTTGTTCTTGAACACCCCAAGCATATATACACCGCCCATGCATTCAGACGGTAACGCTTGTTTGGGATTTAGTTGGGACCCCGAATTTTTACCATCTATCGCCGCTATTGCGAATTACCGCGCGTGGTCGCAAATTCGATTTTTTACAGATTTCTGTAACATGGCATTCAGCGTATAGAAGCGGAGTTGTCAAATGTTAGTTTTTGTTGGATTTCTAATATATTGGTAGGTACATGTAGATTATTATTAATCTACGATACTGCAACCACAATTATGTTTAGTATGAGACTTCCTTGGTATGTATAAGAGATTTCAATCTTTAATCTATGAATCTATGGTATTATGTTATTTTATTAGTTTTCCATTGTGCTCGAATTATGATTACTCATGATGTGTTATTGTGCCTACCTATGT